TTCGGGTTAGACGAGACGTAATCCCGGTTCAGGCCGACCTGGCTTTCGAGCGTCATCGCGCGTCTTTCATCGACGTATTTTCGGCATCATGCCATGGACGAGTTGGTGTAATATGCTCGAAGTGCGTCATAATTAAAACAGTTGAATACTGTGCCATGATGCACTCGTCAAATGGTTATGACGATCACGGAAGGAAGTTGTAACAACGTGGTTGAATTTTCGCATCGCACGAACTCGTTTGTGGAAGCTTCCGTTGTTTTTAATCTTCCTTATACTATGCGCACACATACGTCTCGTGCCATTTTCCGTTCTCAATTTTTATTTTTCTTCTTTAGATATTTCTGTCATATTTTTTTCTTGCTTCTTTTTCTTTTTTTCTTTTTTCTTCTTTCTTTTTTCCTGGGGTGTTCATTGTTTTTCTTTTTTTTATTTTCTTTCTATAAGTACAGTTCTCTTGTTCTTTTCTTTCTTTTTTTAAAATAATTTCTATCTTTTTTAAATATTATTGTCATATTTTTCCTGAAATATATCTCTGGTTATGTTAATTTTCTTTCTTTTGGGGTATTTTTTATTCCTTTTTATTTTTTTCCATGTCCTGTTGTTTCCTGCATGTTTATTATTTTCTTTTGATTCTTACAACGTCTGTTTTCAACTAACTTTTTTCATTATTGCAGGTGTTTATTGCTCCTTTATATGTTTTATACGTTTATTAATATTTTGTATTTTTATTATATCTTTTTTTTTTCTCCTGTCTCCTTTCCATTCTTCGAAAGAATCTAATTCCTTCGTCTAATTTTTTTATCTTAAATATTTCTTCTTTTCTTTTCTTTTTTTTTTTATTTTAATAACAAGATCATCCGCGCGTCACCCTGTTTCGCGGTATGATTCAAGGTTTCTTTTGATAGATAATTTTTTGAAACGATAATTATTATGTGTTTTATTAGTCACGCTAAAATTGCGACTCATTGCGTTTCTTTTAGTATTGCAATTGATTTCGAATACAGTATACTTAAGAATTTGATTTCTTACAAGCAAAAATATTTATTAACAATTTATTAATTCGTATTAAATCTATGTAGATTAACAACAAACTAATAAAACAATAATAACTAATATTATCGAGAATAATAATAGAAATATTATTTAAAGTAGTTATAAATATCTAAATGAGTATCTACTTTTATATGCTAACAATATAATCAAAAGAATAACATATTGAATCATAAAAAACGTAAAACTACCGCATAAGCTGTTAGCATTATTAGAAAATCTAGTAATAGGATCAGAATAATAGGATTACGAAGATTGATCTTAAACTGACGCTCGCGCGAAATAGTGTAACGTTGAGAACAAACTAAGAAAATTCTTTGGCCTCATTGATTTTTAAAATTCATTTATTCTCTTTGTTGAAAATTTTAATCGATTAATCAGCTTATTCCCCATATAGAAATCATAGATAAACTCTAGATTGTAAATTCTAGATTTATAAATTTATAAATTTATGCTTTCATAATTATTCTGAAACTGTGATTAGATCAATTTTTTGAAAATCAAAGAATAAATTCTATTAATTATTAATAGAACTATTAATTCTATAATATATGTAAAAACTTCTTGTTGTGGCAAAAAAGTCCATTAAGCAAGAAAAATTATTGAATAATGATCGCTGGGAAAGATTCTAGACCTTCATTCTAATCTTCATTTTATTTAAATTTTAATGATTATTAAAAAATTTTTATTATGTATGTATAAAAACTTTGGCGTTTGATATTTCTATTTTGTCTTTCTTTATAATAAAAATTTATAGTAAAATATCTACAATCTATTGATTTCTAAATAAATTCTTTATATATTTTTTTATATAAAATATTAATTATAAGCATTTGAATACTATGATTGATTCATATTCAGATAGTAGAAAAAGATATATTTTATTTTATTAAATCTTGAAGGATGTCCTAAAAAAATTTTAAAGATGTTTTCTAAAGATTCCATGTCATCTTCCATAGCAGAAATTATCTTAGTGAATCTTGATGAATCTTTAAAATTTTAATTAATTAATTTATAATGTATAAATTTATAATGTTAATTAATTATAATGTAAATTTGGCAATATATTTTAGAATATTTAAAATTGAAAATCAATTAAAAAAAGTCTACAAAATTACATAAAAGTAATATAATAAGAAAAAAAGGGATTGACAACCAATGGATTAACTGAAAAAACAACCCGGACCTGGGGTCAGTCTGCGTGCCTCCAGACTTTTGCGCGTCGTGAGTTTAAAATAGCGGATTATATGCGTGTTTCCTACGACTCACAAATGATTTCTTAAAATAAGTAGTCCTGTAGTTTTGCCTTTTCTCTCCAAGTTCGTTTTTTATATTTTATCCACATCGAGATACAAGGATCTATATGTAAATTCATGAGACCTTAAGATTGGAAGATATTGAGGATCACAATGACAGGGCTCATCATGTAGAAACGTTCTCATTAAGAACAAAGAAAAAATCAAAATTGAATGATTATTTTCTTTAATTTTCTTCAATGAAAAAATTTCTAATTACAAAATAAGAAATTTTTTTCTTAGTCTATTCTTGTAAAATAAAATTTTATTCAACGAGTTAACTCGGATATCTAGTTTTAGTGTAGAAATAAATGTTAAGACAAATTCTATTTGGATAATAGATGACGAATGATAGGTTGTTTGATAAAAGGATTCTTGAACTGTTGCGATCGGAACATCAATTTGTTTTAACACTATAATCGAATAAAATGGCGTTGTCATCGATTTATATGAAGATTAAACGAGAATAGAATTTATGTGAGATCTACGAATAACATTTTAGTCGAATGTAAATTCGTGTTGCAGAAATGGAAAATATTTTTTGAGACGGCTAAAGATCGTAGTGACTCATATGTATTTTTTTATGACTCAGTTTTTTGAATTTATTTGTTTTTACTAATTTATTTTTAAAAAAAATTAAATCTATCTTTTAAATAGAATCAATAATAACTCTTTAATTTATATATTTTAAAAAAAATTCGAAATTTTATATTTTACGTATAATTAAAATGTTTTAAAATTCATATTTTATGTTTCAAAAATATGGATATAGTGAAAAATAAATTATTATTATTTACCATTTTTTCCTTTGTCTATGATTATAACACTTAATCCAAAAAGTACTTTGACCAAGTTACCATAAACAAATGTTTCGTAATAAGATGTTTCGCTTTCTCTTCGACTTTAACCAATTAACTTTCCAGTTTTTTACCTCTGTTGGTCAGCTATTACGATTCCACTTTCCATTTCTGTACTTTACAAAACTGTACTTTATCCATTTATGTCATAATAAATTCGAAATCGTTACGGATTTGCAGAAATCAGTTATCCAATAGCGCTGATGAAATAATTTACGATTTCTATGTTCTTTCTTAGTTTTTTTTTATAGTTGCAATTTCTTTAATCAAGACAAATAAGATTTTTCATTTGACGACAATAATGACAATGTTGTATATATCATATTTTAGAATAATTTGAAATCTATCATAAAAAATTTCATCGAAATAATTAAGAAATATTTTTACGATTTTATTACTGGTTATGATTATGAAAATCTATTGTTTTAGAAATTATACGTGACAAAAGTTTAGGAAATCTTCTAAAAAAATATAATAATTTTTAAATTTCACAATTTTTATACTTTAAATATACTTTACTTATACTTTAAATATCATTCATTTAATGGAAACATTGTTTCTAAGCATCTTAAAAATGTTTTTATATTCAATTTTGTATGACAAATAATTATTGAATATTAATCTTCTGTTTTAAAAATTAGATCTGTTGAAATTGTTTAATTTTGATAATATATTTTTGCTTTGAAAGTGAAATAAGGAGATGAAATAAGATTTTATCGAACTTTTGTTTGATCTATCAAAACCTGGACATTATCTTCATCTGGTACACATATATGTTGATAATTGTGCCGAAGTTGCATAATGAAATTCAAGGCAATTTCTGACGTCTTCAGTTCGAAGTTCGAAATTTAAATAAAAACTTTCAAAATATCTTCAAAGATTTTTATCTCTGATTTTTAATTATAAATCATCTTGAAAATTTTAGGTAATTTTCGGTTGCATTCAAAATTAAAATTTTAGTTAAGATCATCAATTGTGATTCCAAAACAATACGATGCAACATAGAAAATAAATAACTAATTAATAATGAGTTATTATTTTTTATTTTATTTATTTAAACATTATTAGCGTATGCAATATGTTTATACGAATCGAATACATTAATGTGATATTTATGAGATCAATATCTTTTTTCCTGATTATAAAATGTTTTTCTTTCCTTACGTTATTATAGATTTGAAAAATTATAAAATGATGATAGGTTTTTTATGAATCTAAGATTTGTACCTAGAACTGTAGTTACAATAATGATAGATCTTGATTATGATGAAAGATTAAAGACAAATCTAAAGATAGAATGTAGAAGATGAAATTTGAATTTTAAAGATAGCTAGAAGTCGAAATAATAATAAATTGCAAAAAGTATCTCAATGTATTATTATTTTAAATAAATAAAAATTTTCATTTTATGTCACGAAATCTTAAATAATTTTGAAATGAATAGCAAATTCAACAAGATTGAGAAACACCGATCTAATTTATAAATTTAAATCTATAAATTAATCTATAAATCCAAATCCATAATTTTATACGAAGACTTTATTAATATTAAACAATTTATTTTACTTGTAATCTAATTTATAGTTTAATTTATAAATCTAAATCTAACATATGTAAGATATTTTAGTATTATATGTAAACTTTAGAAAAGAAAATTATACAAAATTCAATATAACGTTATACATAATTTAATTTATACATCCAAATTTAATCTCAAATGTATACAGATATAATAATTATAATTTTAAAAAACCAAAAAAAATCTCTAAAAAAAAAAACAATATATATACAAAATATTACCTCCATCATTATTCCAAGGAAGAGAAAAACATAGTTACTCAATACACTCCTCAATCTCTTAATCCACATTATTCAAGACATCCCTCAAGGAACCAAGATTCTCAATTTCCCTTTCTCCCCCAATCTCGAATTACACTCGATTCGTTGGAAAAATGGTGGAAAAAGCGTATTAGAAAACTTCGTTTCGCGGAGTGAACAGCTGCACTAGGTCACGTAGACAGGATATTCGGCTGTGCACGTGGTTCCTGGGCGGTTTCGACACGGTCCTGGTTGACGTCATCGAATGACGTCAATCCAGGGCCCCTCCGGATCCCCCTAACCCCCTTTCAACCGCGCTTTATCGCGTCAACGTAAGAAGACGCAGCCACCGCCGCCTCCGTCACCTCTCGACCCTCGAAAAGCCGACCGATACGGTTTAAACAGGCGAGATTTACGAAATGCCACCAGGCTCGTTTCTCGGTGACGGTCATCTGCAAATAGAACACTCGAATCAAAGCTACAAATAACAGGGTGTGGACGAGAGTGAAGATTCCTGCGGGAGGAGAAAATAATGCCGGATCCGTGGAACGTAGTGGCGTGATGGAAAAAGAATTGGAAAAGAATATATATCCAGGGAAAGGAGAGAAAGGTCGTTGTCTTTGGCGGAGATTGTATCGTGTGGGGTGGTTGCACGACGAGAGATTGATATTTCTCCAGGTCGAAGGTGTAAAGGTTGTGTATGTTGAGCTTGAATTCTGGATATTGTGATAGGGTGGATATAATGGGAAATGGAGTGTGTTTGATACACATTTATTGGGAGAAGATTTGGAGGGAATTTATTTTAGTATTGATTTAAAAATAATTTGAATATTGTTGATTATTGTTTGATGAATAATATATTTTAAATGTAAGAGAGGAAAATAATAAATTGAGAAATCGATTATATTCTTTGTGAAATAACAGTCGGAGCAAATATTGAGCAATAATTCTAGTAGTAGATATAAACATTTGATGCTGCATATTTAAAAACTAATTATTTTCAATTTAGCAAATAAATAACAAGTAATTTATTTCGTCAAGTGATAAATTTATTATCTCAAAAATAGATTATTTCTTAAATTATTTTAAAAAATAATTTTAAAATACTATAAAAGAAATTCTATATAATATTATAAAAACGTTTAAGCCTGATTAAGAGAGAGTTTAATCTGATAATTATTATTTTCTTTTTGAACAATTATATGTGGTTTTGTAGATTCTTTTCAAGTTTTTAATGTGTTTAGAAATTATAATTGATAATACGAAATTTGTAATAATTTATTAAAGGATTAAAGAGTATGTATCAAGAGAACTATTCAATAATAAATGAAACTTGAATTTATATTTTAAAATAATTGATTTTAAGTTTTATATTCGTTAAACATTTTTTAATTTTCTCAAAAAAAATTTTCTCATATTATGAAGTTTTAAATTTTTATATCTTAACATCTTACTTTATTTTATTATCTTCTCTTACACTGTAATCAATATTCTCTATTGAAAGAAATAAAACATCGTTTATCTTAAAATTTAAATATTTTAAATACATCTTTAAACAAAATTTTAATTACTGTTTTTTGTTGAAATAAAATTGTTTATTTCAAAATATTAAAATAAATCGAACAATGTGTAAAAAAGTAACCATTAACAATTTAGCAATTAACATATCAAGAATTAGTGTTTCAGATATAGAAAAATATTTGAAATTAATATTTTTCATTTAAATTTTTTTTCGTAAAATTTGAAAATAATTTCATTCATGTGTTTCACTCTATACATCTTCTTTCTTTATATATTTCGAAATAATACGTATATAGTTTCAGAAGGTTGATTCTCCTGATCGAGAATAGTCTGGTTTGTACGTTGGCATGCCGAGTTCTGAATACGTAACAGATATACACATATATACATATAAATGTAACAATGGAGCATGTATTAGAAATTCGATAGTGTGATACATTTATACGTAATTATGTAATTAATATTAGAAATATCAAATATCAATGTATACAAATATATGTAAACATACAAAATATATATTTACATCCATATTCTAATTATTATATCTTAATGCTAATTTTGAAAAAAACTTGAATATAAAACATTAACTAGTGTTAATGTAAAAGTTAATTTGATTACATATATTATCGATTATCTGAAAGGAAGTCTTTTGCTCTGTGAATTCCGTGTATTGGAATATTGGGTGTTGGAAATAAATGATCTGTAACCGCAGTTGGGATAACTGCAATGGAGCGATAGGGGATGAAAGTTAATATGATTATTGATTTTTCACTGCGAAAAAAAATTGTTTCCTAAAATCGTTTTTAGATACAGTACACACAATTTATAATTTAAAATTATAATTTTAAAATTACTGATATCATTAGTTTTTAAAGTATTGTGCAATTATATTAAATTATTATATATAATTTAAATAATATTTTTACTATTATTATTTTAAAATTATTTTGAAGGATAAGAATTGGATCAGATAAGAAAAAAATGAAATATGAAAAATTATTTACAGTTGTTTAATAAAGTAAAGCGCAGTTTATAAAGTTATCGAAAAAAGTTCTCCCTTTTATAACTTTGTTCGAGAACTTTGAATCTTTGTCGAGATATATTGGTCGATTGATATGCATAAATTACAATAATTGGAAGTTAATTTTTCAAAAGTTACTAGATTCAATTTTAATAATGATTCGTCGAAACGAATAATAAATTAATGAAAGAATAATTTTATAAATATAGTTCTGTTTCTCGTGTTGTTTTTTCTTTCGGTATCGAATACGTAGTCTAAATTATGAAAAGCTGCAAAATCAGAAGATGCTGGAAATAACTGTAACGATTGAAATCTTCTATTGTGTGAGATCTTCTATTTTATAAATTTTTCATTTTTTTTTTAGAACATGAGATTTTTTTATCGTGCCTTCATTTACAATAATGATAAAAGTCAATGAAGAAAAAAGGAAATAGCTGTTCGTTAAAAAAATAAACGTTGTACGCAATTATTATATTGACGTGATGTGGAATATTTTCCACAGAATTGTTTTTTTAAATCGATATATCTCTTTATAAATTTGCGATTGCAAAACTAAGAGGAAAACCAAGACAATATTGCAACGTAAGCATTGCTTACTGGTTTCTGTAATTCTGATTAAATTATTATTCTTTTTTTTCTTTTTTTTTTAGATTAGAGAGAAGTATCTAAATAACTAGTAAGAAAAATATAACGAAGGATAAACTAAAAATTGTTAAATTATGATGGATAAAATTAAATATTAAAAATAATATTACATGGAATAAATTTTTGTTGATGCAATTTATCATTTTTATTATTCCTTATTATTTTTTAAATTAAATATCTATTTGTAAATTTAGAAATACTTATGTAAAATACGATTTTTACGAAAAAAAAAAAAATATAGCCACGAATAGATTAAAGATTATCAATTAGTAAATATTATAAATTAAAAATGATGCGATATAAACTTTTAATTTCTTTTCGTCTATAATATTTATAATAATTTAGATATTTTTTTATATTTTGAAATTTTTATTTTAACATTTATTTAAAATTAATTATTAATTTTAAAAAAGAAAAGGATATTATATTATTATAAGAAAAGATGAAAATACAGTTTATCTAGTCATTTAGAATCTTTCTTATTTGTAATTTTCAATTTAGATAATTCAAGTGTATATAATCGAAAATGAAAAACTTTGGAGCATGCAAACGTTTACAATTCTACTGGACGAATGCTTCAGAGAATTCGGATAGTTCGTGCAGTTTCTTGCGAAATTTCCTAGATACTGCAAGATCTTGAGCATCCTGATTCAAATTCGATATTCCAAATATTCGCACGTGCTCGGTTCTCACGCCTACTATCGTATCGTATACAAGTATCTCTCTTCTCTTGTCAGAACTTGGGATTTATTTCGGTCGCCACTTTATCCAAACTTATGTCACAATCGCGCCTCGACGGATATTTCGGATAAAATCCAGGCGCCTGGGGAGAAATTAGAACTGCCGGATCAAAATTTAGCTGTTTGGCGACGATATTGGTCTCGCCTATTTGTGTGGAAAAATTTTGATATTAAATTTAGCAGATTGAAAAATTATATCCTATGTATTTAATTAATTAGTCTATGCATAAATACACAGATACAAAGTGTTGCAATATTTTCTTATTTGTTTATTATTCTATGATTATTATATATTTCTTTTACAAATTAAATTTCCACTTCATTGTTTGATAAAGTAATTGGATTACTTTTTATTTTAATCATCATGGGTATTATTATTTATTTATTTTTATATATTTTAATGAAAAAAACATAAAGAGTTGAAATATTTCATTTGAGAATATTGTAAGACATAAATATGGCGATAAATTTAACGAGAATATGCTAGTATTCTTGGATATTGCGAGTGAAAAAATATTTATATTTTACGACTTCCTGAGTGACCCTGGTTGAAGTAGGAATGATTAAAACCAGAAGATTCTTGTAGTGAACAAAATGTAAATGTATATTATTTGATTCGATTATAATTCGTAAATATTTATAACAAAGAAAAAAAATGTTGATATGAATTAAAGATTTTTATTACGTACTCTTTTTCCCTAACATGTATGCGCAAATGCATATTATATTGGGGAAAATTGTCTTGTTTGATTTGTTTATTTTTGTTGATTAAGCAAATATTGCGTTTTCCTTGATATTATTTTAGAATTGTTTTGTTCGGTTTATTTATTTTTGTTGATTAAGCAAATATTCTGTTTTCTTTGATATTATTTTATAATTATAAAAAAGTAATATGTTCGTAGTAGAAATAAAAGTTGGAATATTTAAAAATTAAAAAATGGTAATAATTATAGCTTAAATATTATCAATCTTAATTATATGATTATATAATAAATCCATACTATATATTAACAATTGCTATTTATTATCGATATTTTTTCGATATATGTATTCCTCATTGATTGACAATATTTTTTTTTTACTTAATATTATTATAATATTATTAAACATTGCTAAGATTATTTAAATACAAACGCAAAATGAGCAAGAAATTGCGAAAAAAAAATTTGTAAAAAAAATGATGATAATAAAGACTAGAGTAAATATTCATCACGTATGTATAAATTAAACGTATATTTTATTGCATACAAAATTACAATTATTCATAGATCAACAACTTTAATACTTCATCTTAGTTGATCAATGTTATATATTCTTTTACGTCACACTAATATCATTAAAAGGTGATAAAATATCCATTAATTGTATAAATTACCCTAATTAAACATATTAAAATTTATAGATGTAATTATTATAAAAAAAATTGCGATGATAATGACTTGAAAGTTCAAAGTTTGCAAGAAAAATAATAAAATGGAAACGATATGCATTTTCATAAGTAAAAAATATTTTCAAGAGAAAAAAAAAAGAGTAAGTAAAAAAAGAGACAATACAGAATTCATGGTATTATCAGAAAATGTAAAAACGTGATAATATTTTGATATATACGATCATGATAATAAGAAAGTAGTTTTCCAATTATAGAATAATGGTCTGAATAATGGATTGGAAACAATCAGCCTTGATCTAATTTTTTACCAAGATAGTGCATATTAACTTGGTTAATTTTTAAGCATCTGGTGTTAAAAATAAGTCGGACGAATCTTTGCATAAATTATTTTATAAAAACGGAATTATTCTTGAAAAGGGAAACAAGTTTATATATTATTATTTTATAATTTGAAATTATATTTGTTACACAATTTTTTTCTAAAGAAATTATTGTTTGTATGATAATAAAACTTTTAATTTTAATTGAAATATAACTAATACTTTTGACAATGAATAATTTAATTATATTAAATTATATTGAATAATATTATGTATTTTGTAATGTCACAACGTTATACAATTACATAATTTATAATAATTCATTTGTAAGAAAATATAATTAAAAAATTTTCCATTAAAAATATTTTTATTAAAAAATGATTATAAAAATTGTTAAACGAATAGATAAAATTTAATAAAATGGTTATGTCATGGGAAAAGGAACACTTAAAAAAAAAAAAAATAATAAAATCGTACAGATTCGTATGAATATTCATGATCAATGAAATACCATTTTTCTGCAGCCTTAAAAATGGCGAAATATTTAGAAATATAAGCATCTTGATGGGTGGTAGTACAAAAAATGTATTTAATTTCATTCGTAAAATAACATTTCATTCGTTTGTAACATAAAAACAAAATTGCTATAACTCGTGTCCAGGGTATCCACAAATATTTTCTCTCCTTGTAAAAGATGTTTCGCAGGACAGATTTTTGGCATCATTTAATTTCGTTATTTTTCAAGAATAATTGATGGCTAATATACACTTTCGGAGCATTAAGATTAAATTCTTGAATTTCTTAAAAAACCTTGTACCAATAATAAATCTGTACGCTATAGAATAAAATTTTTTTTAAAAAGGACGATATCTTTTCTGATACAAAATAAATATATATATTTTTAAGAGAAACGAGATATATTTTAATTTTATCATGGACAATATGATCCACGATGATTTTATTCTTTATAATTAATAATCGTACTCATGTAAAGAATATTATAATAGAATAATGATATTATAAAATTGATTTTTAATATAATTTTTTTTAATATAAACTAATCTATCTAATTTCTGAATATAAAGTTTTCTTCAATAAAACAATACATCAGAGTAGCAGAAGAAATTAATTCATAGTTTCTTTATAAAAGATTATAGAGATTTTAAATGATATATTTAATGGTTTAAATAATATATTAAAATTATATATACACAAAATTATTCTGAAATTTTTTTAGAAAGAAATTACGTATGAATGCTAGAAATGAACAAAGGAAAATCAGAAAACCAAAGCTTTTTTCATCGACAATCGTATATTCGTAACAAAATTAGCACAATTGCTAAAATTATATTGACTCACCTTTCACGTTTTTTTCTTTTCATGTAAAATGTATATCTTTTTTATTAAAAGATCAAAAGAAAGCAAAAAATAAATCAGATTCGCTGAATGAAAACTCGTCATCAAAACGATCGAAATTCAACTTATTATGACGATAATGATGTTTCTCGAGATAACGAGAGAAGTAGTTTGTTTTTCAATCGATTGGATTGACGTGCACAATTGGTAATTTGATTTCTTGAACTTTTGAGTCATTCTTTCTGGATCAATTCCAATATCGGGACTAAGAAATTTGCGTCATTTGATTTGCGTAATTAGCAAAAATTCTGAAACTTGATACCATTTACGTATAATCCGATGAAACAGAATAACTGTTAAAAGTTTTTTTTTATTTTTAAAACTTATTTGATTGATAAATATTAGATCGTATTTTAATAATTATTTTCTGGGAACGAAAATTTTTTTACTAAATAATTAGAATGTATTATAATCAATTTTTATTAAATATCTAATTAGCTAAGAAGCTTTTTGATTTTTTTTTTAATTTTTTGTGATAAAAATAGAAAATGCAAGAAAAAAGAAATTTTTATTCGTTAAAATAACTATTATTGCTTGACTTAATTATAGATTTTTGTTGGATACTATAATTTTCTTCCTTAAATGTGACAAGTAACAAATTTATGAACGATTGTGATTCAAGTTTATTTTTATACGAAAAAATTTTCATCTTTTTTTACGTGGGTATACGTAGATACGTGGGTTTATATACTTTTTCTATAACTATTCATAAGGGAGGTAATATAAGCTGGAGTGTACTAATTACGCTTCCTGTCGCTTCTATTATTCTTTTCTATTCATTAATGACAGACGCGTAATAAACATGTATAGATATGAATTACTCTTGTATATTAATTAAAGTCAAAGGTCTATGTATACAACCTATGAGTTTTTTTTATATATCTTGACATTTAGAAAAAAGTTCTACAAAGTTTATTAAAGAATATTATCATCGTCTCGAGCTATTTTAATCATTTTATGTATTTCATGATTGTTATTAATATACCATATCAGGATTTATTTTTTATATATGTATACATTTAGATAATTTATACATTTTATAAACTGTATATTATAGGAATCAAATTGATAAATTTTATTATCAAAATTAATCAGCTGATTTTTGAAAAATTTGACATTAAAGGTTTAATATATTTTGATAAAATTAAGAATTTTTCAAAAGGAGAGATCTACCAAATTATTGGGAATTGAAGAATTTAAAATTAATTCTTTAGGATCTGAATTTAAAATAAAATCAGAATACTGGATTCGTTATTATGTATGCTCAATATGATTTGATTAGTTATGAATAATTGAAGTAAATGATCTCTAGTCGATAGATTTTTTTATGAAAAAAAAAAAAAAGATTTGATATTAAGGATCATTAGTGATGATACTTGACTGGATTTTATAATACATGATCTGTTAAAAACTTTAATCTTTCATGCTGAATGTTTCGTATAGAATTTTAATTATATAAGAAATAACAACTAGATAATAAATATATTATATTTTTCGATAAAATAACTCTTAAATTTTATTCTTGTAAATATTTTATTTACAAAAACATTTTAAAAAGTATCTTATCTTTCATTATTAATCGATGAAAAAATATTTTCTCTTTATTCGTAAATAAATTTTTAAAATCTTAATTTTTATCTTTTTTTTTTTTTTTTTTTTTTTTTTTTTTTTTTTAAAGAAGATGATCTTTATTTGAGAGAAAATGACGAAGATCAAGGATCAAGGAACGTATTATCGTATGCGTAGTTATAGAGTTATTAGATAGTGCTAGTTACAATGGTACGTAAACGAGATTATAACGAAATCTTATTGTCGCGCATATGTAAATTTACAAAGCATGCTTCGTGGAACAGGTATGTTGGGAAATTTCATTACGAACATTAAGCGTATTTTGTACTTCATTGCCTATCTAATCAGAAACATTGTAGCTTTAAATTTTGATACGTATTTATTGTCACGAATCTGTGGTTAACATTTGTTTACGAGTAAGATAAATTGTGTTGGAAAAATTATAAAAATTATGAAATTTTTACAATTTTTTGAAAGAAAAGAAAATGTTTAAAATTTATTACTAGCATTATATTTTGAATGTTTGGATAAATACAAAATATATAAATAAATAAGTGAAATGATATCACATATCTATAAGTAGATTAATGCGCATAAAAATGTTAAAAAGTCAAAGTAATTGAATTGCAAATAAATTCTAAATAGATTTGACAAAAAAGTTAAAATAAAAATTTTTCTAAATAGACGAATGCTTCTTTCTCGATTCCAATTTCTAATTTTTCGTATGACGTTAATCTTTTATATTGGCTCCTTTCGATCCGTCATGGTCGATTATTCGTGACAAAAGTAGCTTGACGTCAAAGTTCAAGATTGAGCAATAAGGATTGTGAAATTTCACGGAATTTTCTCCTAATTTATACAAGTACTTTAGTTTTATTTGTGTGAGTAATCTAATAGACGGGTATGTAAGTACATTATCATTCAAAATTTTAGATATATTTATTGACTTTGCATATTTTTTCTTAAAAAATTCCAAATTGTAATTTGAATTTAAAATCGTAAAATTATAAAAGAAAAATTTATAATTTATGATCTATATACTTTTATCGATTTACTAACAACATTAATCAATCACCATCATAAAATATCATAAAAATATGTTAAAATACCTTCTTCGACTTCTGTATCTGTGTATACATCAGCACTTGATGCGTTTGTACGATGTAAAATCCACTTGAGGAGTTTACAATACAGCTTGTGCACTCAACCTTGAGAAAATAATTATGAAAAAAAACACCTCGAAATACTTATTATTATTATTTATTATTATTATATTTTACTTACTTCAATAAAATAATAATCCTTTCATATTATTCTTTTTTATTCTTTTTATTCTCTTTAAAGAAAAAAGAAGCTTCTAAGAATTATAGAAATTGTAGCATGTATTATTACAATTTTTCTAACTTCCTAACATGAATTATAAAATTTAATTTAGAATTTCTTCTAATAATTAATTTTTTGTAGAATAGATTATAGATACTTATTTATAAGGAATTATGTGCATTAAAAAATGAATATGAAAAAAAAAATTATATCTACTTAACAAAAATATTGTTATCAAGTTATGCCATTTTTCAATACTTATCTATTTTTCAAATCATTAAAAATAAATGAGATGATCAAATTATTTTCTTCATTCTGAATATCTCATTTTAAAAGTTAAACTCAGCCTATTTTTTCTTCAATTTATTATACTTAATTTACTTATCCATATTATTATACCGCGTTAATTGTAAAGGAAGCTAAATAATTTCGCAAATCCTGATGCAACAACTCGTATTCCACAACTTTATATCTTTCAACTTTCAAAATTCTAACGTAAGCAAAGAAGGAAACTAATCGAGCATACCAAGAGAAATTCCAATGTGCATCGATTCCATGCTTCAACAATCGAGAATATTAATTCGATCGATCGGTCAGTTGACACGTCTGTGTAGGTTCATCCGTGTATAAGTGGAATGATTTATATCTGTATACATGTTTGTCCATATACATGGCCACGTGTAACGTGACAGGTTTGTTCTTGGACTATTACTATGCACCGATCGTTACGACGTATGACATTATAGTGGTATCACGTGAGAGCATTCGTGAAGAGATGCGATCTCGAGAACCTCGAGCATGCACCGGAGTTCGATCCACTCCGAGTTAAGGGGATTGTACGAGGGAAACCGAGACGAAACCTTTCTGTACCTCGAGTACGAAAAGGTTTCACCAAGCCTGACGGCGATTTATTCAATTCAGATTCCAGGGGCAACGTCTCTGAAAAGCTAATCGTTCAACGATTCGAATTAAAACCGTCATTTTTCTTCCCCATCATTCAACATTAAAATACAATTAATTCATTCAACATCGAAATTCTGCTTAGAAAAATGGCATGTTGTGATTTTTTTGATTTATTATCCATGGCTCGATTATCATGGATATTTTTTTTTAATAATGTTGATTAATTAGTTTTTATCGAGTTATTATATTATATAATTTTTATATTATGATGATTAACTGTGATTGCTGTTTTAGTAGATTAATAACTTTTTTGTTGAAACGTAGAATGTATAATGAAGTATTCATAATAATATACATGGATAATTCAGTAGTTTTATATAAGTCGTAATATAATAATATAATAAATTTTTATAATTTTCAAGAAACGGAATAATTGAAGAGTTTTATTTTAAAATTTATGTATGTACATGTAGATAGCACATGTCAATTTAAAGGCATTCATTGTAAGTTTATTTTAAGACTGTACGTCTTACTTTGAAGGACGTCGAGGGAGGTTCAGATAAGATTGGGTTCTTCGACTTAAATACTTTTGTAATATTATTATTATTAATTAATATAATTGTCTTTTTTTTCCAGTAAAGCAAAAGATATGTATGTAAATGATAGTAGATAAGCTGGTTGCATGACAATATCTTCTTTAAAACTTGTTGATTTTAACAAGACTTTCGAGAGACACTAAAATGTTTGTGAAATATTATTAGATATATTTAAAATATTCATAAAATATCTTTATGTTATCTGACGAAATTGTAGAGAAATTATGATTTTCTATAAATAGAAAGAAATTTATTTTAATAAACAATATATATTCTATCATGGTTTATGATAATATCATGATAGATTGCTACATAAACTACAAAAGAAAAAGTTAGTGTTACACTTTCTAATTTTTACAGAAAACAGTTTCAAAGTTAGACTTGTTATTCTCTTGTATTTATGATGAAAATTATATTATGGATTATATCATGGAATCTATCAAGGTTTTCACTATTTTATTTTTGACACATTAAAGAAATTCCTTTTATTTATTACGTGACGTAAAAGATAGGAAATCAACAAAAAAGAATTATCTATTCTTCTTCCTATTCTTACTTCCAATCACATTTATATTTATGAAAATATAATTACGAAACATTGAAAAATCGAATTTTAAAATCTTAAAAAAACAAGAGTATGAAACTATTAAGGAAATAAAAACTATATTTTCAGATTGTATTGTTAAACATATTTCATTGGTCTTTGAATTTTTTACCTAGTCGACATTTAAAATTTAAATAATATAAAATAGTTTCTCGATTTAAGTTTGACATTTGTTTCACTTATGTAGGAGTAGCAAAGAATGTGGGTGGTGAACGAATAGGTCACGTTTGCTTGATAATTTTTAAAGCAATAAGTTATATCGTTAAGAAAAAAGCGTCAATGCATAATAATTTATGTTTTATATTGACTATGCAAATTGATGGATAATTTGGTTAATTCAAAGTAAGGAGATATTGCGTAAAAGATTCGATTCGTATGTGGTATTCGTTTTAGGAAATCTGTATGAAAAATCTATATACTTGGTCTCGCTTAATGCACACTGATCATATAACATGCAATCTTCTACGTTTTTCCTTTGTCAAGTATAAAGTATTTGCGCAAATAGAGAGCAGATAAGGCAATTATATAATTTCCATGAATTTTCGAAAGTTTTAAAAATAATGTATTATTTTCAATATGTGTTTATCGTTTCTATTTTGCTTTTAAATATGCCTGAAAATATATAAACAGAATATTTTAACAATAAAAAATATGAAAAAAATAATAGAATTATTTTTTTATTAATACAATTTAATATAAAATTTAATTTTGAGTAAACTTAAATGAGACTTACAAGCTAGATAAAAAAAGAATTAAAAAATTTTTAATTTTTATAAAATAGAATTTATTTAATTTGAAATAAATTAAAACAAGCTTTAATTTATTAATTTTAAAGAAAATTAAAATCAATAAGTTTTGAATAATAGAATTACATTTAATTTTTAATTATTGAAAATAATATTATTTATATATATTTTTTTTTCCTTTTGAATATAAACATTAATTCTAAAAACTTACAAAGATATAAACAATTTTTATACAACGAAATACTAACCTATATTCTTGAATTATTGATTAAAAAACGAAGAAATATTTTAACTCGTTTCAAAGATAACCTGATTAATCTCGTAAAATAAATCGTTTATGAAATAATAGCAAATATCTATATTGCTAGTGAAAAAAGATTGACTGCAACAAAAGAAAACAATGCTCTTACGTACAAAGCTACTATTTTCAATGAGTCAGATCTCTGCAAAAGCTTTTCATGCCCTCCGCTGGTTCGCTTTATTGCCATGCAGTGTAAAGTATGATAGCTTTTGTAACACGAAATTTACAAGGGCAAGATATTTCTAAAGATGATATCCTATTGTATTCACGATACATGCGTGCAATAGTTACAACGATAAATAGCGAGATTCATTATTTTCATATCGTATCTATATAGCGGAACGATATGTTACTGCTACTGCCATCTGGCTTTCACAAAATTCGTTTTACATTACAATAATAATATTATAATTGCGAAATAATTTCTCGAATACTTATTATATTTATTTTTCTCTCATTGAGAAATTAAAATAATTATATTACTTACTTTAAGATTAATAATGATTTACATATATCCATCGAATAAATGGCTAATGATCACACAATCATTAATTTATTTTTTAATTTTTTGTAGAGTGATTAATCACGGATAGTTAAATCAAATACTTAACCGAAATTGAATATTTGTTTAATTGGAATAATGAATTCATAAGTAGATAATTGTTAATTATGAATTATGACGTATAAGAGCAAATGATTTATTTAAAAAAAACTTATCACTGTATGAAACTTTGAGTTGTATATTCTGAAATACCGATTGTGCAAAAAATTAAGGGTTTTGTTATGCCCTCTGTGTTTTAAAGCGATAAGTTTAGGAACTATATTCGATTTAACTACGTTGGTAAAGTTGATAAATGTAAAAAAAATCTCTTATATTTTCTTTTTATATTCTTTCTTATATTCTCACATAAATATATTAATTAACTTTTTAGAATTTTAATAGCATGATAATTTTACATATTGAATAATGTTATAGTTCGTATATATATATTCTGTAAAGGTTAATAGAAAATGAAATTTATGAAAACGTATATTATAAAGAAAATATAAATTTGAGATTTCTCAATAAAAATATTATATTTTATATTATAAAAATATTTTCTTTAATTATTTTCTTAAATTATAAATGTATATAATTATAAATATATATTCATCTTTTAAAATTATTAGTTTTACTTATTACGAAAATATTTCATGAAATAAATTAAAATAATTTTTTCAGAAAATTTCTCGTTCGTATCTATATATATACATCCCATTAGGTAAAAATGAAAACATTGAATATTTGTTATGATTATAAAATCGGAATGTTTTGTATTTTTTTAATTAAAAAAACTTTTACATTATATACATTTTAATTTTTCGCGCGGTTTGAATTAAAGAAAGTCGTATTATTTCAGCCAATAGGAAAGTTGCGTCATAAACTTGCGCGGTGAAACGTCATTCTCCCGCCGAAAATCGTGGGGACTGGACGTGTCGGCCGGCTTGAAGTGCGTGATTTATTTGCTCAATAATTCTATTAGTATTCTGTTATAGTTTATAAAGTGTTATTAATAGTGTTTAATCAATAAGTGTTCATTTAATCATTTATCATATCAAAACTAAATAATTTTTGTGAAATTTCTAGATGTTTTACAATGGTTGTCTGGTTGTTGCCGGTATTTCGTATTACATAATTGCTTTATTTTAATATAATTATGATTTTATACATTTATTTTATTGTTTTTTTTATTTATACAAGTTATTGTTTCATTATTGAAAGTGATCGAAGGAATAATGGATTACATACCCACATCATAAGAATTTACGCAGTTGACGAATTTTCTGCAAAAAAATCTGGTAATATTTTATTTCTTTTACAAAATGTAAATGTATATAGAATTTTTATTATTTTTTTTAATATATTTTTTTATTCATATATTCATTTTCATGAAAATAGTGAATTCATTATAATCGTTTAATTTTATTTCGTAATTTATTTCGTAAATTATTGAAATGACGCATATTCCTTTTCCAAATGAATCCTTCTATATAACTCTTATCTACTATTTATATATTTGTTTCTCTCTCTTGTGTATGTTATGTTTAGCATCAAAACATTCTTTAGGACGTTCCTTAGTCTTTCCAAGAAATTAGAAGTTCGTGTTCATACATGCTCGATATGTTGTCGAATTGACAAACACATCCCCTCTCCATTTTAAAATTCCATAGACGAATCGCGGTATAGGGCACCATTTTGTAAGTAATATATACGTATTGATGACAATGTGATGATTAGTTTTTTCTTGCTGCATTTTTCTTCTTTTTACTGCGTAGTTATTTCTTCCATAGCTATTATTTTATTTTTTTTATAATATTCAATTAAATTTATAATGATTTAATTAAGTTTAATTTTCTTTATTATAGGTTATTAATTGTTGTGTTGAACAAGGCGGTAAAAACTTCATATTTGAAAGATTTGTGACCGCGCGCAATGCGGTCTTTCGAGTCAGTGTTTGTTGCGTAACATTTTCAATATTTTGTAGAGTATAATAGTTCTAATTTAATATAATTATAATAATTTGCGAGATTAGAGTCAGTGTCGATTATAAGTGAACGCGTTAATAATCTTTTATTTTTTCTTTTTTTCATTTTTTTCATTTTCGATATTAGACTCAGTGTGCATTAAGAGAATAAATCATTTATGACAAGAGGATCATCCAGCAAAGAGGTAACTTTAATATTTTTTATCCTATTTAAATTTATATTTTTTTCCTTATCTAAGTTTATATTCAGAAGAATATTAAAATTATTAGAAATTTGAAATATTTACACTTTAAGTTTTTGTTTTAAGATTTTAATTATTATAATTTTGAGAAATTTAATCTTTAATATTATTATATT